AACCGATCATCTATGCCTATCTTATGCTTTTGACCACTGTAACAAAGCCATCAGCTACTGGGCTGACTCGAAGTCGATCAAAACTCCGCGCAAAACTTCGCCTTGCAAAAATCGCAGGACATGATACAGAAGCTCATTTGGTTCTTCAACCCAAACAAATTTTTGAGTTGGAAGGGCCATAGGCACTGGAGCCATGAATTTAATATGGTCTTGGTACTAAAAGCCCAAAAAAGAAAACCAAAGGCCCAAACAAGGGAACCCATAACGTAAAACTCAGGGAAAACAGAGTAACAAAGGTCACAAAGTGAAAGGAGGACATTGAAGATAAAGGGACACTCTGTTTCCGTCTTTTTCATTCATCAAATTCTGCCATTCATCATAACATGCTTGGCTTTCAATTGAAGCTTTTAATAATTTTCCACAGCTCATCAGAGACACCAGGAAAGCGAACACTAGTTTGTTTCTTGACCACTTAAAGTCGTCGATATCCATGGCTCTTGTGAAAGCAGCTGATCCACAGACCTCCTCTTCTAATGCTTCTAGATATTGTCGTTATCACGTGTTCCTGAGTTTCAGAGGCCCAGACACTCACAAGACTTTCACTGACCACCTCTACACGGCCCTTGTCAGCGCCGGATTTCGCACTTTCAGAGACGACGATGAAGTCGAGAGAGGAGACGGTATCAAGCCAGAATTGCAGAAAGCAATCAAACACTCACGAACTTCTGTCATTGTGTTCTCGAAAGACTACGCGTCGTCCAGATGGTGCCTTGACGAGCTGGTGATGATCCTTGGACGCAAGAGAAAGACCTCAGATGACCATATCGTTTTGCCTGTCTTCTACGATGTGGATCCATCCCATGTAAGGAAGCAGACAGGAAGTCTTGCAAAGGCATTTGCTAGACACCAACAAACTCAACCACTGCAGAAGGTGAAGGCATGGAGGGAGGCACTTGCAGAGGTTGCAGATCTGGCAGGGATGGTCTTGCAAATTCAAGCTCATGGATAATTTCATTCCTTCTACCAACTGAATTAGTTTCTTTATTTGGTTGCAACTGAATTAGTATCTCGTTATTGATATGTATTTCGTAGTGTTAAGTGTACAAAAATGTAGTTGGCACTTTCCATAGTTCAAAATTTTTCGTATTGGCGGTGATTTTGGAATGGCTAAAAGGCTTTTCTAGACCTGGATATGTTTTACACTTCATCAGTTTTGACATGCTACGGGCTAAATTTTGATAGACCTGTCCTTTCAAATAAAATAAAATAAAATAAAATAAAAAATATTGATAGATTCTTTAATAACCCTAATATCCAGCACATACACAAAAACACTCAAGACACCCTCAGCAATCCAGATTCTTGTAAAGGCAATCAAGCATATTCCAGCAATCCAGATTCTTGTAAAGGCAATCAAGCATATTCCAGCAATCCAGATTCTTCTAAAGGCACCCGGGGCTGAGAAAAACCTATCCAACTGTTCTATCTAACTCTTTCAGCACTCATCTATTACATATTTGTACTTCTTACTTTCTGAACTTATTTCCATGGTATTTTATAAGTTAAGTATATGAAATCAAAGTTTAGGTACGAGTCAAAGTTTATTTTGAATGCAATAGTCTAGGTACGAGAAGTTTATTAAGAAAATAGTTAAAGTGATTGGAGACAAACTAGGTCGCACACCCGTAAGTGTTGCTCCCAACTTGATTGGAATGCATTCTCAAGTTCAAGGAATTAATTTATGGTTACAAGATGGATTAAATGATGTTGGCATACTTGTAATAAATGGGATGAGTGGAATAGGAAAAACAACCATCGCAAAGACTGTTTACAATTCAAAACTTTAGAATGTTTGTAGGAAGCAGCTTCCTTGAAAATATCAAAGAAGTTTCAGATCAACCTAATGGCTTAGTTCAAACACATACATAACTTCTTTATAATATTTTGAATGGGAGAAAAATGAAAATAAGCAATGCTAGTGAGGGATTAATAAAGATTGAAGATGCAATAAGCTTAAAAGGGGTCTTCTTGTTCTTGATGATGTGGATCATATGGACCAATTATATGCAGTACTTCAAATGAAAGATCGACTTTATCAAGGAAGTAAAATCATCATAACAACTAGGCGTGCAAGACTTTTAAAGGCTTATCAAGTTTTTAGGTGTATGCAATTGAAACTTTGATTCAAGAAGAATCATTGGATCTCTTCAGTTGGCACGCTTTTGGCCAAGACCATCCCATTGAAGATTGCATAGAATATTCAGAGAAGCTAGTTGATCACTGCGGAGGACTTCCATTAGCTCTCAAAGTTTTAGGTTCTTCTTTGTTGAGGGAAAGTATATGTCTATGGAAAAGTGCATTGGAGAAGTTAGAAGTTACTCCAAATGGTGAAATAATAGATAAACTAGGAGTAAGCTATGACTCTTTGCAAGATGACCATGACCGAAAATTATTCCTACACATTGCTTGTTTCTTATAGGAATGGACAAGGATTACATTGTTAAAATACTGGATGGATGTGATTTCTATACAATTGTTGCCATTCAAAATCTCATTGATAGATGTTTGGTTATTATTGACGGATGTGACAAGGTGCAGATGCAAGACCTAATTCGTGGAATGGGAAGAAATTGTTCGCCTGGAATCAAAGGAGCCTTGGAAGTGTAGTAGAGTATGGCATCATACTATTAGTACTAAAAACTAAATATCTCAAAAAGGTAACAATGTATTGAACATCTCCCTCAACAATTAGAAACTATCCATCCAATTTTGTCCACACTGGTGTGCAAACTTAGCCCTCTATATTGGTCAAAAATTATTATTTTTTCCGTTTTTTTCCCTCGAAAATGTCTTTCATCAAAGCCCAAAAATGGGGCAACATAAACAAACAGACAAGAGGAAACAACAGCTCACGAGGAGCCGAAAGAGAAAAGCTATGGTTTGTAATATTAAATTGTAAAAGCAGTACACCACTCCACGCCACTTATTTACCAATTCTTGTTCAAATTCATTCTTTTATTTCTTTCTTATTTCTTAACTTTGTTTATGTTATAAAACTAGAAAAATTTAGAGAGAATCTAGAGGAAGAGAATAACCATTGAATTGCTCTTCTAAAGCTTCATCTATTCATCGAGTGCCTATTTATAGGTATTTGGAATACAATATAGTGACTTATTGGAAGGGTGAGTCATATGGTAGGCATGCCCATCCATGATCCATTACATATAGTTTACAACAGTTTAAAATATTTCTTTATACATTTTGGACCTTCGAATTATTGTTGTTTTTAATTTTCTAAATGCAATTCAAGCTCACGCCGACCACAGACAGCATAACTATGATATTAACTAAGGTTGAATTTTGGTTTGAATATAGTCAGATCCAAAAGACGAATTTGCAATATATATGATCATTAGACCCCCAAATTTTTTTTAAATGGCTTTTCAATATATATATGTATGTAGTTCACGCAGCGGTGTTAATTTGGAGGACTATCATTATATAAATTTAAAGGAAAAACCTTACAAAATCCCATTGTCTTTATAGTATCCATATATCTTTGTAGTCAGACTTAACATATAAGTTATGTTGATTCATAGCTTCATTAATTAATTTTCAATAAGAATTAACATAAAACAAATGTAATAAAAAAATACATATTGTCAAAATGAATATAAGATTCCAAATATACCTATTGAAGTTGTGCCGTGTGCGATGCTTGAGAAAATTGAAAAATATTAAAATTTAAAAATTAAGGGTAAGGACGATGAGATCGACTTTGATAGCACAAGATACAGAAAGTCAACATATATTTTTCTTGAGACCACTAAGGCTAAGTTTCACAAAAAAAAAAAATAGAATATCATACTTCATTATATGATGGGACCAACTAGTATATTAGTATTTCATTATGATTGTAGTCAGACTTGGAAACTTCAGTGCATGGAAACCGCCAAGAAGCCACACAACGTGAAGGGGCCATCCACTTAACGGGATATATATAGGTTTAATATTTTTGTTTTTGCAGAAAGCTACGTAGTTTCGCCTACAGACACCAAATTTATTCAATCGATTTTTCCATTCTACGTCATGAGAGCGACACTTTTGAGAATCTGTGTAGGGTTTGTTATATTAAATTGTAAAAGCAGTCCACCACTCCCGGCAACTTGTTGAGCACTGCTATGGTCGATTTCTTTTCCAATTCGTATTCAAATTCATTCTCTTATTTCTTTCTTATTTTCTTTGTTTATGTTATAAAATTAGGAAAATTTAGAGGAAGAGAATATGCATAGAATTGCTCTTCAAAAGCTTCATCTATAAGCATTTAAAATACAGTTTAGTGAGTTATTGGGAGGCGGGCATCCATTACATATAGTTTACAGTAGTTTTACAATATTTCTTTACGTTTTGGAACTCCGAATCACTGTTGTTTGTAATTTTCTAAATGCTATTGTAGCTCAGGCAGACTCCAGACACCCTGTTTCTCTGTATATATATATATATATATATTTAATCCACGCTGCAGTGTACCATGTCAGTAATCTAACAATTTGTTTGCAAAATCAAATATTAAGGGCCAAATTGATGTTGGGTGTTAATTTGAAGGACTTTCATGACTGAAAGTAAAAAGCCTACGGAAATCCCATTGTCTTTATATCATCCATCTTTGTGATGGAACTAGGTGGAATCAAGAATTTTTCGACAAGTTACCCATTGTCTTTATATTATCCATCTTTGTGATGTCTTTATATTATCCATTGTCTTTAAATCATATAAGTTATGCTATGTTATTTCATACTTCATTATGTGGTGACACCAACTAGGATACTAAGTTTTCACTATATGTTTTCATACCTCATTAGGCCTTCTCCAACCCATTTGGGACTAAACCTAAATTTTCCCCTCCAAAAAGTAACTATTTGGGTTTTGCCCAGACTCAAAATGTTTTTTCTCCCAATCCTACGGATTCAAATTTTAAGTCCGCAACTTTATTAAATTATTTAAGAATGATTTAAATCTAATTTTTTTTTTATGGATAACTTTTCTTCATTTAATCTTTTTAAATAACTGCATACTTTAATTTTTTGAACATTTGACCTTTAAAAATTGAAATTCTACAAATTTAATGTTTTTGGTTGATTATTTGAGAAATGAGTGGGTATTTATAGAGTTTGGGGTGAGTTTTGATGTTGGATATGATTTAGATTAAGTTAAAATATTATTTTGATCTTTGAATTTAAATTTCAATAGTTGGATATTTTTTTTTTTACCATTAAAATAGCTTAGATTTAATCTATTTCATTGATTTAAGTTAATATTAGAATATAAAAAATAAACAAATAAGCTTTCAATACAAACATTTGTTTATATTGAATACGATTTGTATTGTAGCCAAATTCCATAGCATATATCTCATCTAGGAATAACACATACAATATGAGACCTAATTTTAATTTCAAAATTGCAACTAGCCCACAGTTTATTGGAGCATAAAATTTGGATCCAGTAAGAGCAGTTCCACCGAGATCCCCTTGCCTCGGGCTGGGGGAGTTTTTTTGCAAAAATTGGTTTCCAGCGGTGAGCCCAAGCACAGGCTGGAGTGGGTCCCACGCAACTCGGGCTGGCCCGAGGTCCAAAACGCAGGCTGGCGTCAGCCCACTCATTTGATTTTTTTTTTCTGTTGCCATGTGGCGTCGTTTGGGCTCTCCGATCTGATTTTTTCCTCCAATCCAACGGCAGCCAATTTTTTTGCAATAAAATACTGGAAAAAATTCGGAAATTTTTTAAAAAAATACCCAAAAATTAATGAATTTTTTTCTATAAATACCAGCAAATTTTTTTTTAAAAAAAATTTATCTGAAATTTGAAATTGAAAATTTTATCCGATTATGAGATATGAATAGTATTGACACGTAGGAACCCGAAAATATTATCCAAATTAATTATTGAGGTAAAAAAAAGTTGTGAAAAAAATATAAAAAATGAATAGTAATTGCCCTTTGCCATGGC